AGTCCTTTTAGAATATGGCTCGAATGAGTTCTTGGAAACCCATCTTTTCTTCATGTAGGCACGGCCGGACAAATGCACGAATCGGAGTGTATGCCGAGGACTTTTTGGCACTAATCAACATTCTACTAATCCTGTTTGTTCAATTATTGTCTTGCGTGTGTGTGTATGTGTGTGTGTGTATTTATGTTTGTACCGGAGGTACATTTATGCAAAAGGATGCTTTGACACCCAGCTTTTCGTCATGACCCCGTACGGTGTCCTCCCCGCCCGACTTTCAGGCAGGTTGAAGGCACCGATTAGAACCCACAACAGGCCACGACAGAACTGGGCCTGGACTCGGCTGAAGAGGCATTAGAAGATGCGCAAAGGCTCTTGATCCAATTTTTTGGCTGAATTTCTTTTCAGCAACATTTGCACTCTTCTCATTTGGACAGAAAAGTCTATCTGTTTGTCTCTCCCTCACCCTCACTCTGTCCTGACGGAAACTGCGAGAGGAGCGCGAGAAAGTGGACGTCAAGAGGTGAAAATACCTCGTCTTGGGATCAATGGCCGTCTGTATCAACATGTGACACTTGATGCTGATGATCCTTTGTTGACACTCGAACGTTCCGCTGGAAGAAGACTTTGGTGCATTGACCCCACCGGAAGCCGACACATGATGCCATCTGAATGGTTGAAATCGTGTGAAGAGGAGACTCGAAGCTGGATCCCACCACCAGCAGAATGCTCTTCTAACGCCGCAATCGTCTTTTGGTGGGATCTGCTATGAAGTCTTTTCATCACACAATTTTGACAATTAACAAGTGAGACGTCATTGTGTGTCCGTCTCCGGTTCGACTCCCGCTGAGGGTGTTGATAAGACCGATGCGGGGTCGAACCTGCAGTCGACTGGCGCCTGGATGAGAACAACTTTTGGGAAAGCAGGGCAATGTGAAATTGAATGGAAACGTCATTGTGGGAAAAAGCAACTACCAGTCCTACATCACCTTAAACGAAATTGTGTGAATACATCTCACATTGACAATTGACACTTGAGACGTCATTGTGTGTCCGTTTCCGGGGCGTTGCAATCACCCAATTCTCTCATTCGAGTAGAGCATTTGCGGCTCAATAAGCCGTGATACTGTCACCCGAACTAGAAGCATGCTCAACAAGCGTAAACCGAACGATTTCTCGAAACTCTAGATTTTCCCAATTAATCATCAGCTCAGACATTTTCATTTGATCAGGTTGCTTCCATTTCGAGTGAAAGTGCTGCTCGATCCCACCACAAGACGACTACGGATTCCTCTTGACCAGGTGTCGATTGGCTTCGCTGAAACCTTCTTGCTGACGCTGTTTCGGAAGCCATCTTGCTCGATTTCGATAAAAATATGGTAAGCTTTTGTTTATAGGAAAACCGGTTATTCGACATGTATTCACCCTATTTCGTCCCGCAACAACGTTTCCATTCAATTTCACATAGCCTTGCTTGCACACAAGGCATTCTCATCCCCACTGAAGCGGACTGCCGTTTCGGCCTCACATAGGCCTACTTATAAACAAAAAGTAAGTAGTGTAGTCGATTTTTATAGCAAATTTAAATTTATTTTATCGACAATCCCATCAAAGTGATCTGCCGATCACTGACGTTGTCATCAACGTGTAGAAATCATTCTCTGCACTGTCATGGTTCGAGTCCCGCTGGGGATGTTGATAAGACCGAGGAGAGGTGGAAGCTGCGACATTTTATAGAAGAGTCAGCTTTAGTCGTATGATTTTGGGAAAATTTCACTACCATTCCCTCATCACTTTGAACCAAATAGGCTGAAAACATCTCACTTTCGTGCGTCATATGACGGACATCATAATGTGTAAGTGTGTTCGATTGTGCGTGCACAAATAACCGGTAGCCTCGAAAACTTACTCATTCACGAAATAAGTAATGTTGTCGATTTCGATGGCAAATATAGGTTTGCCTCATTGACACTTCCAACACAGAATGGGGTATGGGAAATGCCGGAAAATCGTTGAAATTCACATCTGCCCTGTCACCCAAGGGCACTCGTGGAAATGTGGAGGGCGGAGTGGGAAACTTGTCGAGGTTACAGGCTGCATCGTCGCGGTTCGAATCCCGCCGGGGGTGTTGATAATACCCACCTTTCATTTGGGAAAAGAACACCTCTTGGGAAAACAAGGCGATGTGAAATGCAATGGAAGCATCAACTCTATTCACATGATTGTGGGAAACTTCAACTACCAATCCCTGATCACCTTAACACGAAATTGGGTGAACACAACTCATGATGTGTCGTCATCCGAGCACCCGCAAACTAGAAATTGAAGTAAGTTCAACAATTATGATTTAAAAGACTCGTCAAAACGTGACCATTCTTCGCAAACAGACGTCTTCATTTGCAAAGTAATCGTAAAAATTCTATCCCAACAACGCTTCGTTCCACTTCCACTGAACGGCCAAATTGGCAATCTGTAATCCTGGAAGGTACAACAGCAAGAAGCTCTGGCATCTTGCGTTACGCATGCATGCAAAAAAGGTCCGTTTTATACTTCTTTGCCTAATTTATTGGCATTTTGCTTATAGACGATGCTGCTATGGCCGAGAGCCCATCTCCACTTCTCAACATTGGAGCACTTCTGCTTCGGTTTCCGGACGAGGCCAATCTGCCAATCCGTTCAGACCAACTTCGTCTTCCGCCTGGAACGTCGAGCCAGATTGAATTAGCGAAGGGACTCGTCGAAACCCACCTTTTGGGGCATATTTTCCCACTTGTTGCATTCCGCTCTGTAGCTGCTCCGACCACAAAACACACTTCGGCCAAAAAGTGTCCATCTGCCAGGGCACCTGTCCACGTCTGTCCTGTCCGGCAGCATGGACCACAACAACTTTTTCGTCCAAGTTTTCCCACATTTCCCGACCCCCTTACACTCCCGCAAGTTTCTTGCACAAGGCAACCATCCTCTTCGCCCTCTAAGACATACCAACACATTCACTTTAACACACACACACAACCAAGCGGACGCCAATTTACGATGAGGGGCCTGCCATCCAGTCAGGAAGCTGGAGCCAGCAGGTTTCTGGCTTGAGTGTGAAAATCAGAAGTAATCGGATAGCCCCTGCATTTTTCTTGCGCTTGCCCTGAACACGGGCGGAAGAAGCTTCAATGCTTCTCATTCTCGTGTCTGTGTGTTTTGGGTATTTGTGTATTTGTGTGTGTGTGTGTGTGTTTGTGGAAGGGCAGATTTGGTGGAGTGCTTTATTTTGGTGTGAACCGGCGAAATGCACACAAAGTGACGCGATAAGTTGGGAAGTATGAAATTGGGACGCCATGTTCTGTTGGGGAAATTTTGCTCGTATCTTCCACCGGGCCAGCGGTTCGAAACCATATTTCAGTTTCATCTCAATCTGGATCTTGTAGCTTCTGAATCCCCAATAAAAAGAGGTACAAAATGATTGGGAAAATGCCGACTTGGGCAGCGGCTCGATCGGAGTGGTGCAGAGTTGAGATTAAGGAACTGTACGATCAAGTCCATGGCTCAGCGGGACTCGACTAAGACGAATGCATTCTAATCTTTTCAACCTTGTCAAACAATTTTTTCGTTTTTAAGTAGGCCTTCGAGACTGTCAGTAGATCATGTAGAAAATGTATTCACTCTATTTCGTTTAAGGTGACAAGGGGACAGTTAGTTGAAATTTCCCATAATCCTGTCAGTAGATCCCACGTTTATATTGAATTTCATATAACCTGGCTTGCCCAAAAGGTATTCTCCTCCCGGCTGTGGAGGACTGCAGTTTCGACCTCACCCAAACAGGTCTCGATAGCACCGCAGCGGGACTCACAAGGAGGATGGGATTTTGAAGAAAATCCAAGCATTATGCCACACATCACATTCTATGCTGGAATGGGCAAAGAGGCAAAGTTACATTTGCTACAACGATAGAATGTATTACTTATTTTTGCTTATAAGTAGGTTCTCGAGACTACCGGTGGAACATATAGATGACATGTTTTCACCCTATTTCGTTGAGGTGATCAAAACTGGTCGTTATTACTTCATTGAAAGAGAATGTACAAAATGAAAGCTACTTCAACATCAGTCTCCACTGACCGATTTACGAATTCCGTCCAGCCAACCGTGCGGCATACAAACAAGCTTTTACGATAAAGCCTATCAAATAGACAAACCTCAGGAAAGGGTGACCGGCTGCCGTCATGCCCACTTCGAAAAACTGACTTTGTGGTTTTAATGAGGCATCCCCTGATTCGAATTGTGGTCTCGTAAGATTTCTATACCATTAGCAGATCTTGAAGAAGCTCTCTTGTCAGCCGAGGTCACGTAATGTGATTCAGGGAATATGGGAAAATTGGCAATCCTTCCTGCATAACCTTAAGCTCTTATTTAAGATCTATTGAAAGACTACTCAATTAGGATGTAAGTAGTAGTTTTCGTATGTAAGAAGAGTCTCGAGACTACCAGTAAATCAGTAATATGAGATGTATTCACCCAATTTCGTGTAAGGAGATAAAGGACTGGTAGAATAAGAGTTTTCCCACAATGATATGAGTTGAACAATCGACTACTATACTTTATTTTTTCGGATTAAGTATTGTTTTCCTGACTATCAGTAAATCAGTAGTATGAGATGTATTCACCCAATTTCGTGTAAGGAGATAAAGGACTGGTAGAATAAGAGTTTTCCCACAATGATATGAGTTGAACAATCGACTACTATACTTTATTTTTTCGGATT